GACACCAGGTCTGGTTGCCTTGGGTGGGGGTCTCTAAGGGAGGTTACTAAATTAGGATGATGCTGAATCTGCGGGGGCTGCTACACCGACCCCACACTGCACTGTCCCTTCTAACCCACCCAGCAGCCCAGGAGGCCGTGCCAGCACCCCCACCCCCACTGTGTGCCTGGGGTGAGTGAGGAGGGCCCAGGGTGGGGTGAGGGTGCAGGCTTCAGGGAGGTGTCTCTGTGAGGCCTATGCCAGCTGTCCAGTGTCAGCCACACCAGTCACTAGCGCTAGGGGTGGGGAGGGGCGGTGCAAATGGTCCCATGGAACTGCACAGCAGAAAACACCATGTCCAGCAGTTTGTGGCCAGGCTCTGTTGCTGACCAACAGGACACCACATGCCTTGGGACTGGCACTGCGTGACTGTGAGATGGTGACCTGGAGGGTGGGGAGAGACCCGTGGTGCACAGCTGGGCTGGTCAGGAAAGGGGAGGAGGCCCACCTGGGCGGTAGGCAGGCCCTGGGGAGGGAGAGGAAGGAGAGAGGGCTCTGAGCAAAGGCAAGCTCAGGATGGAGTTGGGTGACCCGGGGTCCAGGCGACAGGTGAGTGCAGGTCCCAGAGCCCACTGGGCATCCTCGGTCCCATCATCCCTGGGCCACTGCTGCCCGGGGTCAGTCCTCAGCGATACACATGACTTCCAGCCCAGGAAGCTTCGTGGGCAGCTCCACAGAGAGCAAGGTTAGCTGTGGCTCGTGTGGTGGTCAAGGCCACCACCGTCTTCTTTTTTTTTCTTCTTAATCACTCCCCCACCTGCTCTTTGGCTTCCACGGTGACTTAGGGAGCTGCCAGGGCTGGGGGAGGCTGCCTGGCGCCACTTACCCTGAGCACCCCTTGGGGTCGAGGACAAGGTCGGGGCCGCACCGGAGGCACAGGCACGGAGCCCTGGTGGGAACCTGTGCCCATCGGCCAGCGTCAGTCTGTTCCCTGAGCACCAAAACGCCGCTTTCTCTGCTGCTCCTTCCTGTTGGGGTTTAGAGGGGGAGGAAGCCGTCACGGTGCGAGCTGAGGAGCTCCTGGAAGACGGCTGCTTGTTCTCAGCAAGGCAGGACCCGTCGGCTCCTCAGAAACGCACAGACCAGAGCCCAGGAACAGCACTGGTCCACAGCAGGGCAGACTCCGAATCTCTGCGAAATGGCTTCTCCGTGGAATACGCCGACATCTCCGCTGGGCAGGGAAGCTCTCCAAGGGGCAGAAACACATTTTACCCACGCGGAAAAGATCAGGTAAGAAATGTTCTAAGTACCTGCTGAGTAATTGGGTTTTCCACGCGGTTCCGATTCACACAGACTGGTGGTGGCTTTTACTCTGTGAGGAACACAGATAACAGCAAGATGACGTATGGATTAAACACGCGTCGATGGTAGAAATTAATAAGGACAGGTATTGCTGTCGCCCCTGAGCAGTGAAGACAGACACAATAATTGGCTCTTGTTTAATTCTTTACAGCGCGGAAAGTTATTTTCTCAGCTATAGAGTTACTGAAAATACTAAGTCATGTCACTTTTCAGGCCGATGAAGGGCTAATGAATTTGCTTCAGAAAGTGGAAGGATAAAATCATAGGATGATTTTTAGAGCTTATATTTTTTTCCTGGATGGCCAAAAAGAAAATACAGTCCATTCTCATGACTCCAGGTAGTAATGTTCCAGAAAGTGAACACTGAGGCGAGTTGGAGACCAACTCACATGGGACATATGTGTGTACCCACATACGCATCACACTGATCGGAATCTTAAGTCCCAACAACTCACCCTGGTAGATTCTATTTGCTTTTGCTTTTCAAAAGAGAAACAGTAAGTGGCACTGCCCCACCAGCAGGTCCCAGAGTTGAGTTCAAACCCATCTGACTGGCCCCACAGCCACAGTCCCTGCGCTGCCCTCCGCTCTGTCCTCTCGGCACCTCCAGGAGGGCCGGGACCAGAGGCTGAGTGGGGGCCCAGGTATAACACGAGACTCACAATGCCCCATGTATGGCCATGAATGGCTGCAAAGCACAGGGTGTGCTGACGTGGGGGTCCCAGTGAATTATGGTGAGCAGAGGAATTCACAGAATGGGCTTCAGGAACAGGGAGATCAAGATCATGTCACAAAACCCCTGTGGGAAAAGCTGTGGAAGACTGGGTGGCTG